GTTTCATGCTCAGATTGAGAAAACTAACTGGAATGAGGGTATTTCTCTGTTGGACTCATCACTGTACAGTTCTTTCATTGTCTGATGCCTTGACTTTTCAGAATTATGTTTTGTATAGTGGTATTAATTTATATTTTCAGATCTTCCAAGGTGCCAATTATGGAACTCTCTGTGCATTGTTGCCCAAATCAAATTCTGGAAGTGGTCATTCAACTAGATCTGTTACAAAAGGACAACTGATATTGAATATGATACTCTCTGCCCTGTTCCGTGGGAGTTCCGCAGGGTAGCGTACTGGGCCCACTGCTTTTCCTATTATACATAAATGACCTTCCAAAAATATTGAAGTATTCTAATATTTTAATGTATGCTGATGATACTGTTCTTTTTTTGTCTGATTTCAAAATTGAATCTATTAATAGTCAGTTACAAGCAGATCTTCAGACATTTCATGGTTGGCTTCAAGATAATCTTTTGTCAATTAACGTTAAAAAAACTGTGTGCATGTAGCTAAAAGGAGCATAACCCCAGATATTAGCTAACTGCTAGCAAAAAGTAATGAAATGCTAGAACAAAGGAGCAGAACTCCAGATAGAAAAAAGCTAGCCAACAGTAASAAAATGCAAGCTAAAAGTAGCAAAACTCCAGCTATAAGGAGCAAAATGCTAGCCAACAGTAAGAAAATGCTAGCTAAAAGAAGCAGAACTCCAGATATTAGTAGCAAAATGCTAGCAAACAATAACAAAATATTAGCTAAAAGGAGCATAAGCCCAGATATTAGCTAATTGCTAGCAAAAAGTAATGAAAGGCTAGAAAAAAAGTAGCTAAACTCCAGATACAAAAATGCTAGCTAACAGTAACAAACTGCAGGCTAAAATTAGCAAAACTCCAGCTATAAGTAGCAAAATGCTAGCTAAAAGAAGCAGAACCAAGTTTGCATAAATCAGAATATTTTTGAAGAAACAGATCTCTGTGTAATGTCACGTCAAAATGTTTGGAAATAAGGTTAAATATCTTCAACAGCATAAAGGTTATAAAAACCAAAAGCCACAGCATCTATCTCCTGAATGACCCGAACATTTTGATGGATGAACAGCTAAAATACAGTCTGATTAAAAAACAAAAAGAAGAAAGTATATAAAAAAAACAACCAATAATGATGTAAAAACCAACTATTTTCTCGCAGACAGAGTTTAGTTGTTGCAGTTAGGTGAAGTGTTGTTATAGAGAAGCAGGCAGATGGTCAGGACTGTGTTGGACCGAACCAGGAACAGACTGTCCTCTACAGCTGACTGGACTTGGCACCAACTCTGCACCACTTAGAAGTGGGTTAGTGTTAACAGTACCAACAGCACCCACATCTCGTTATAGAACCAGTTTGTTGAACGTGTTGGAAAGCTGTAAATGAAGTTTGCTGAGGCAAATCAGAGACTAAACCCTCCCTCTGCCTCGGATTTATCCCACAGAACGAGGCAGGAGCCTGACGGTGTGAATCCGTTACATCATAATGGTCCAAACTGGTTCTGCTCTGAACTGAGAGGTCCAGTCCACACTGCTTTCTAACTAAATATATTGTTTATCTACTATTATCTAATATTAATAAGTAATAAAATCTATTTAGATTAGCAGGTAAATTAGAACCTCTCTGATATATTTAAAGTAGAAAAACAATAAATTAGAATAAAAACAGGGTGAAATATAATCTGAGGGGCTGATGAATATTTCAGCATCGTCCTCATCAGACGACAGCGCTGCAGTGAGCGCTCGCCTCGTGACAGAAAACTCTTTATAAACCAGAATATATGTGACCTATAAGTGTTTGTATACATGTGTGCGTCTGTAATCCCCGTCTGCTGCTCCAACAACGCCACAGCCTAATCTCAGATTAGGCCGATCTCACCCAAGCTCAATCCTACGAGCGCAGCAAAGCGCGCACGACCAACACCGGGCCTGAACGTCCTGGACGGGCCRCGGTCCAACACGCAGCGCCAAGAACACAGGATGCTCATTTTTATTTAAACATTTACTCTACAAGGTGTAAAATCCCAAACACAGAACAACGACACACAAACGGAACAACAACACACAAAYGGGACAACGACACACAAACGGGTTGATGGTTGTTTTTATATAATAATTTGACGACATCAGCAGGTTTTAAAGATGCTGTGTGTGGTTTTGTGTGAAAGAAAGAAAAACACAATGAACTCCCAACAATTCACATTCCTGGCATGACTCGCATAACTCTCACACTGCTGTCTGTGTGTGTGTGTGTGTGTGTGTGTGTGTGTGTGTGTGTGTGTGTGTGTGTGTGTGTGTGT